TTATTTTTGGTATGGAAGGGTTAACCAAAAAACTGAGACTGAAACTTTTTTCATTCAACAGCTTTTCAAAGAAGAAAAAGGAAAATGGTTGCGAGTTTTTCTCTAGGTGTGGGTTTCTCGCCTCACTTTATCATTTTAAGTTGTGTCTTGACAACAATTGTTTTACATTTGTAGTTATTATTTATTTTGGTTGTTATTGTTAGCGTTACACATCAAGTTTACTTTTTGTTAAAACAGATTTTTTTATTGATTATTAAGTTTGTTATATTTCATGTTTTGATTTTCATTTTCAAATTAATAAAATTGGTTTAAATAAAAAACATATGGTCAACATAAAAATAAAAATGAAAAAAATTCCATTTTAATATGGTTATTTTTAAAATAAGCGTTGAATTAACTCTTCTAATATTTAAACCAAGATTATTGTTTCAAATAATAATAACAAATAATTATAATTTTTATATTATTGTAAAAACTAAAATTAAAAAATTATATTTGGAACATTTTTTAAAAATAAATGAAGAAACTTGTTTATTACTATTCGAATCATATTCAAAAGAAATGGCTGTTCGGCGACTTTTGAGTGCACTCAAAAGTCGCCGACTTATTAACAAACTACAAAACTATTGATATTAATTCTTATTACTATATTTTTTAAAATATCAAATATGCACAATTCTCTCAAATGTTGTTATAATTATTATAACAACAATTGGAATTTTATAATTTAAAAACAATTTTTAATATAATAATAAAGAAAAGTTTATTTTAAATTTCATTAAAATCAAAAATTTTAAATTATAAATAAGATCACCACAATAACAAAAATGTGGTGATCGTTCTTCAAAAATCAATTTCATCGTTAATTTCATTCATTACACTTTCTGAAAATGATTTCTCCAAATTCTTTACATGAAAAATGTCTCAGTAATGATGTGGCATCATCAACCCACTCATTTGTAGTTGAAGAATGTGGTTCAGTTGGAATAATGATTTGTTGAATTGCTCTTGAAGAATTTATAACACCGAGAAATTTGTTTATTGAATTGTATTGTCTTAAATTGTTTTCGTTGCGAACTGGTTTTGCCACATGATATTCTCCACTTAAATTTGACACAATTTCTCCAGCAATTCGTGGGAGTTGAATTGAAGTTGTTCCAACAGGGGTCGAATAATCTCCATCTGCCATTCTTTTGAAGAGATAAAAAGGAAACTTTCTTAATGGCTTTTTTGAGATGTGGTAATTACAAAGTGAATGAGCAATATTGACTAGAGACTCGTAACCTCTTTTTGGTAGCCTGTATTTGTTTCTCATCAACTTAAATAATATTATCATTCGACCAAAATGATTTTCAACGAGAATTCTGACACTCGAGTGAACTGCATTGTACGCTTTAATAAATGAATTGTCTACTT